CTGCAGCGAAAATATTTTGATAATATTTTATCCTATTTTTTTTTTCTAACAAATAAGTGGTGAGGTGTCATGGCGAGAGATCTGCGTCTCTGGTTCTTGGGGGCTCTGTTTCCTCAGAAGCCTGCAATGTCTGCTTTGAAAAAGTATTTTGATACAGAGTGGTGAAATGGATCAGGTATTTGGGGCCCTAATTATTTAGAGACTAAATGTGGCCGGAAGAGGAAAAATTCTACCCAGAAAGCTGCTGATCTGCTCAAGGTCTCGGAGCAGTGTCATTTTAAGCAGAAGTCAGTAACAAGCAAATACAGTAGTCAATGGATTTATTTATCTGTTACAGAAACTCTTTATTCTGTTACCTACTGAGTCTCAATCTTTTTGACTTCAGGGTCTCTTTACACTGTTTTAGAAAGTACTTGAGAATCTTAAAAAACTTTTTTTGGTTATATTTATTGATATTTTACTATGTTAAAATTTAAAACTGAGGAATTTTAAAAGTTCACTTAACAATAACAAACATAATAATAAACCTGTTACATACTAATAAAAAAGCCATTTATAAGGAAGAATAACCTCCCTAAAACAAAAAAGTATGAGACGAATGTTTGACGTTGTTTTATTTGTATCTGTTTAGTGATTTTTAAAATGAAACCAATTTAGTGAGAAGAGTGACATTGTTTTCCATTGTTGTGAACCTGTTTCATAACCGACTTTGATAGAAAATAGGTGGGTTCTCATATCTGCTTCTGTAATCAGTCTGTTGGGATAGGTTGTTTTGGGGGCGGCTCGTTAATGCAGAAAATCTAGCCTCACACAGATATACCACTGGGAAAGGTCAGAGAATTGAAATAACCTTTTCAGATAATTATGGACTTTCTTCCTTGATACCACACCCAGACCTGACAAGTGGTGGTGTCTGAAAGGTTATAGTATTCTGAAGCCATAGCAATGATCTTCCCTACTCTGTTACATTAAAATTAGTCTGTTGTGTTTTGAATAGGTCAATAGAGGAATAGTTAGGTCAGCTATAATACATTCATGTAATGGCATATTTTGCTGCCATATATTGAAAACGTTATTACAGGTGAATTGCTTATAAATGTAATTACATATTGAATATCCCCATTTTGCTAACAAATGCAAAGAGGTGTGTATTTGTATTAAAAGGAAAAGTACCAAAATGTAAATATTTTAAATGATGCATTCATGGGGGAAATTTTCTTTATACTTTTCTGTATTTTCCAAATTTTGTGTGATCAGCACATTGCTTCTCAAATCAGAAGGAAAAAAAAAAAATAAGCATTTTTTGTTACGAGAGAAATGTCCGTTAAACTGTTTCCCTCATCTATAGGTTGCCTTCTTTGTGTAAAACCCAGTATTTTCAGTTTGAGTGGGTAACAAAGATCTGTTTTCCCCCTTCAAGTTTTTATTTATTAAACAGACTACTGTAACCTTTCTGTGGCTGTTTTACGCTTCACAATTTTTCCACTTTATTTCAGTAGCAATTCATTGATTCAAGAGAGAAACTTTGGCTTTTTCAAGAAAAGTTGCATAAATTAAACTTTCACATATAGAAGAGACATTATTTGCTTTTTCTCATATCTGTTATAGCTCAGGCAAGCTCTATTTCTTATCCAAGTGAAATGGCAAAAGGACATCCTGTCCGACAGGGATAATAGAGCTATGCTTATGGTTGGGAAATAACATGGAAATTAGCATGCAGTCAGCTTCTGAATTATTGTGTCTGAGCTGTTTGCCAGTGGTGTGAGTGTCACAGTTTTATGGCTGGAAGTTCACGTGGCTTCAGAAATGCAAAGGGCAGCTCACATCTGGGGATTAGTTCCCTGCTTACCCCTGGATTTAGAAAGGATGTTTACAACTAATAATGTGACTGACGTGGTATTGTCGTAAAGGATCGCTACTTCCAGACTTTTGTCCTCTGTGGACAGGACTCCAGATTTGATGATGGCCTGTTTTCCTGCAAACGGAGGATTTCATCATGTTTGTATTTATTCGTTTTACATGTCTCATGATATGATATAATTGATTATTAAGATGTCTACAGAAGCTACAACAAAAGCACCCACAAAGCAGGAAATTCGCAACTTTGTCTCTAGCGCTTGCAGTAAACTTGAGGACGTGATCACTCGGACTTCTCCAGTGGAATGTTTAGTTCTGTGGCTTTAGTTAAATGTGCCAGTGACTCTCAGGGTTTAGAATCTCTCCCGAGACTGTTTAGGAAGGTACATCACCCTTTGAAGTGTAGACTGTGATGGAAGACTAGTTAATTGCATATTCTAATATTGTTAGATTAAAAGGCCATTCTGTCCTCTGCTTAAAGCAATTGAGGATATTATATTTGAGGGCATCCCGAATGGTTAACGTCATTACATTTAAAACTGTTTGAATTTACTTTCCATCAGTAAGTATGAGTTGAACATTTTGGCGTAGAAAATGCACTCTAAGGCCGGGCACAGTGGCTCATGCCTATGATCCTACCACTTTGAGAGGCCAGGGTGGGTGGATCGCTTGAGGTCAGGGGTCCAAGACCAGCCTGGCCAACATGGCGAAACCCTGCCACTGCTAAAAATACAAAAAATTAGCTGGTGTGATGGCACATGCCTGTAGTCCCAGCTACTTGGGAGGCTGAG